AAAAAAAAAAAAAAAAGAATATGCAAGAGGCTCTTAACGTAAAATATCTAACTGTTGGTTCCCGACAAAGTAGTTCATATGTTGTTTGGGCTTCTGCTAGAGATCAGAAGCTAAAACAAACCTATGATCCCTTCTTTATTTTGTCTTGTAAGTTTCTTTGAGATCAATTAACATAGCACTACTTGTCCTTGGAAGACCTGCATAGAAAGTGAAATTCGAGATTCCAACATGAAAGGTCTAAAAATATTATTAAAATACTAATGTGTACATGTAATTTTAGGGAATAGATATTGTATTTTCTCACAGTGTAAATGCTTAGAGCTAATTTTATGGCGATTCTACTTTTTTAAAAAAGTTTTGTATTTTTATTTTATCTCCATTGTCTCAAAGAGGGAATATGATGAAAATGAGGTGGACCCTTACCATGGCAATCAGGAAAAGCTGCCAGAACCTGAGGTCTTGGACCTTCCAGATGACTTGAACCTTGACAGTGAGGACAAGAATGTTGGTGAGGACACTGACAATGAAGAAGGAGAAGGTGCGTCTTTCAGAAACAGAGAACAGTTAGAACTCACTACAAATGAACAGTAACCGATTTGTCTTTCGAGAGCTAGCTCAGTGTTATGGCCAGGTGATAAAGCATTTTGGTTGGCTCAGTCTCAGTTTAAGGAAATGGTTTGCTTTGCCTTTGTAGTGTTTCTCATGTGAGTGTTACCTACAGCTCATTAACTAACATGTATCTCTCAAACTACTGTCACGTCCTATCTGCTATGCCCTGGTAGTGCTTCACACATAGCATTGTATCTTCATAGCCATTACTGTTTGTCTCATCTCGTGGGATGGTATAAACGCTGTGCAGTCTGGGCATACCAAGCTGTTGTGGAGTCCGGTTATAGCTTTTTTAGGGAAATGATGGTTTTAGTTATTGATTGTCACGTGTATAGTGGGGAACGAGATTAAATAATCCCAAGAAAAATCACATGGCATATGACAGTATTTAGTGCCTTTGTCACCCATTTTTTCAACCCTAGTGACTCCTTTAGAGAATATTGTCTGGTATTGGTTGAAAGCATTGTGTTGGAGGTGCCCCTGTAATAGAGGGCCCCATTCCTGCTGCTTAACCAGAGAGAAAGATACAAGCTAGCCTCACTGATAAATGAATCAGCTACACAGTTATAAAATCTATTTTTAAAAATGTATATGTATATTTTTATAATGCTGTATTAGAACTAAAACAGCAAGTTAGAAAGGAATAAATAAGAGGTGCCATTTATGTAAAAAATTAACTTTGGATCTAGGTGCAAACAAAGTCAATAACCAACAAAGTATAAAATTAAGAAAATTAAAATCCACTGAGAATGTAATAAGCTATTTGCTTTTAAATAGCCAGACACATTTTGTATACTAAGGATCAAGTATTTAAAATCGTTGGCATATTTAAAATCATTTGCTAATTAAATAGTTTAAAAAAAAAAAAAAAAAACCAATAGGCTGGTCGCAGAGGCTTATGCTTATAATCCTAACACTTCGGGAGGCCAAGGTGGGAGAATCACTTGAGCTCTGAGTTTGGGACCAGCCTGAACAACAATAGTAGAGACTCTGTTTCTACTAAAAATAAAAAATAAAAAATTCGTTGGGCATGATGGCACACACCTGTAGTTCCAGCTACTCAGGAGGCTGAGGTGAGGGAATCACTTGAACCCAGGAGGTTGAGGCTGCAATGGGCCATGATCTCGCCACTGCACTCCAGCTTGGGTCACACAGTGAGACTTGTTGTCTGTAAAAATTAAAAAATTAGCTGGGCATGGTGGCTTACACTTGTAATCCTAGCAATTCAGGAGGCCGAAGCGGGCAGAGCACCTGAGGTTGGGAGTTCAAGACCAGCCTGACCAACATGGAGAAACCCTGCCTCTACTAAAAATGCAAAATTAGCCAGGTGTGGTGGTGCACGCCTGTAATCCCAGCTACTCAGGAGGCTGAGGCAGGAAAATCGCTTGAACCTGGAGGCAGAGGTTGTGGTGAGCTGAGATTGCACCATTGCATTCCAGGCTGGGCAACAAGAGTGAGACTCTGTCTCAAAAAAA